ACTATTGCGGCCTCTTCCGTTGCGGAGCACAGGCTCCGGACGCGCAGGCTCAGCGGCCATGGCTCACGGACCCAGCCGCTCCGTGGCATGTGGGATCTTCCCGGACCGGGGCACGAACCCATGTCCCCTGCATCGGCAGGCGGACTCTCAACCACTGCGCCACCAGGGAAGCCCCACCATTTTACCTTTTTATATTCTGATTAGCAGTACAAGGAGAGATTGATAATGTAGGAAAGAAAGGGGATATGAAAACTACAAAATTCTTAAGCAGGTGGGAGGAGTCCAGATCACAGGTGGAAAGACTGACCATTAGCAGGAGAAAAGCCACTTTCTTCTCTTTAATAGGATATAGAGGATGAATGCTGTTCTAGGGAAGGACTGTACATTTACTGGTGGGATGTGGAAGAAATTCTCCATCTCATGACTCCTTTTTCTAAAGTATAAAGGAAAATCATTGACAGAGAGAGAGGGAAAGTAGATACAAAATAGTCATCATGGAGAGTGAAAAAGTAAGTTTTCTAGAACACTGAGGTAGGATGACCAATTTGAGGTTTATGGCCATGAATTTAAAGAAAGTCTATCAACCTGAAAGCCAGTTCTCTGGGGCCAGAAAAGAGGAAAATACTGAAAACTGGTCTAGAAAGAGCAAATACAGTAATTGTAGCTTCTTATTTACACTAAATGATGATTGAAAGTGTACAGGTATATTGATAATCCATGACAATGGATTAAATTGTCAGTAAATTGTTAGTAAATAGACAGCTAACAGAGGTTGGAAATGAGAAGGGGCAAAGGAGTGACAGGGGAGGCGTGTAAGTATCTTCATCTTAGAGGGAGGAGCTCATATATACTTCTGAAACTTAAACATCAAAGAAGCAGTTCTTATATTATTTAAAGTTCTTATATTATTTAAATCACACAGTTTACCATGAGAGAAAATACTAGAAGGAAGTAGTTTAATATAGATCTTCAGCTATCATAAAACAAATGAATGAATATACAATGTCAAAAGTTGATAAAAAACAATTAGTGTAGGGAAATTTTAATTTGTAAATATGGAGGCAATCACCAGAAGAAATGAAAACAGAAAGTTAAAAGTGATTGCCTATGAAGATCTCCTGCTTCTCAGTGTAGGCGCTTTTGTACAGCTGCATTTTTTTCATAACAAATGAATGCATTATGTACTATGATAAAATCAAAACAAAAATTATCTAGGTGTGAATGAAGACCTTTGAGTCAGCACCAACCTTTGATAAAACTAGGTAATTTTTTTGAAGGTGACATTTATTTTCAACCCTTTTCATGCTCTCTTCTCTCTCAATATTTGTTGTTTCCCAGTATCAAAGCCATTCACTTCTTTCCCGCCCTTGACTTCCTTCCTTCCTTCACTAAGAAAAATCACATCTCCAGTTTTTTTTACTCAACTTTGATCTTCACAAAATTAGCCTATTCTTGGTCCCATTCTAAAAATGACTCGTCAGTAATAACTGAATCACTGAAATTCCTTTCCTCCTCCTGTTCCCATCCCTGCCAAAATATTATTTAATGTGTGACCTCATTTAGGGAGATGAGATGGGAGACTTTTATGTGCATGCTTTTGTCTTGTTGTTTTTTAATCTCAGAAACAGTTGAGTTGATCTTTTTTTAATTTATTATTGTTTTATTTATTTATTTTTGGCTGAGTTCGGTCTTCGTTGCTACGTGCAGGCTTTCTCCAGTTGCAGAGAGCATGGGCTACTCTTTCTTGCGGTGTGCGGGCTTCTCACTGCAGTGGCTTCTCTTGTTGTGGAGCACGGCCTTCAGTAGTTGTGGCTCGCGGGGCCCTAGAGCGCAGGCTCAATAGTTGTGGCGCACGGGCTTAGTTGCTCCGCGGCATGTGGGATCTTCCCCGACCAGGGTTTGAACCCATGTCCCCTGCATTGGCAGGCAGACTCTCAACCACTGCACCACCAGGGAAGTCCTGATGTGACTCTTCATGTCATAGTGTATTATCATTATGGTTCATACACAGTACCTTGTGTGATTAATTTATCCCCTTTTATTTTCATCCCCAACTCCCATTCTTACATCCTTGAAAATTTTAATTAATTAGCTAAAAGGAATCAATCTATATTGACAGACTGTCACAGCACTGGGATAGGTGGAGGAAGATTATTTGGGAGTGTATGAGAAGGAGGGCCTTCCCAATGGACTTCAAATTATAGCATCTTTATAGGGTTCACTTCATTCTTTTATATAATGACTCAGTAGTCACTATTAACCAGGGCTGGAGTCAGGATGACTCTTAAATAGTTGCTGAGATGTTTTCTTATTACAAGGTCTCCTTAATGTGATTTAAACAGGGTCTAGGACAACACCCCAAGCATGTGGGTGCTTAATAAATATTATCCTGCAATGATAATGATGATGTAAAACTTCTGTAGGCTTAAAGATCGATGACTTATTCACCATACACCCTTAATTTACATTCTTACAACACAGATGAGACTCATCAAATTATTTTGACTGTTTTATATGCTTGGTCAACATGTTGCATATGGGCTAAACAAATATGTAGCCTACAATTATTACTTCCACTATCATTAACTGATGTCCACCAATAACATTACATAATGTATACAACAAAAAGCATCTACTTCACAGAAGGGCAGCACACTGTTTTATATTTCCTGTATCTCATTTATTCAATAAAATTTTTTTTCGATGATAAAGAATATTATTGGAACTAACACTCATCTAGAGCTCATTACTTAGTGAAAACAATGATTTTCTAGATAGGGGGAAAACTATGTATCTTTCTGTAGATTAGGACACATTTTGCAACATATTTTGCAATTTTCTTCCCAGAAGTATGAAATTTCTAACAGAAAGATGATGAAATATATTGAATTGAAAACCCTTAAAGGCAGGAACTAGCTTCTATTTTTTTCACTATATTTCTTTCTACACTTCTAAATAGTATGGACTTTTATCTTCATATTGTTTTATAGAACTCACATATTTGTATTTCTCTTGTAGTGCTATTTGTTCTACAAGAGGCCTGATTTTTTTTTTAACTTTTCAAAAATACTCATTCTTGGGGAATTCCCTGGTGGTCCAGTGGTTAGGACTCCACGCTTTCATTGCCAAGGGCCCGGGTTTGCTCCCTGGTGGGGGAACTAAGATCCCACAAGTGCGTGGTGCAGCCAAAATAATAATAATAATAATAATTCTTGGAAAATCTCCCCTACTAGATTTCAAACAATCTGGGAGAAGATCCTGTTTGACTTCATCCATGTATATTTTTCAGTAACAAGTTCAGTGTCTCGCTCATAAATACTGCTTAAATAAAGGAATGAATGCAACTTTTTCTTTCTGTGTTTTTTGTGGGTTTTTTTGCCAGGTCACGGGGCTTGTGGGATCTGAGTTCCATGACCAGGGATAGAACTCGGCCCCAGCAGTGAAAGCACAGAGTCCTAACCACTGGACCACCAGGAAGTCCCCTCTGTAGTTTTTCACACTTGATTTAAAATAACTTCAAAAATGTTTAAACAGAGAAGTAGTTGCCCTCCAAAAATTTATTTCCACCTTCACCATTTGTGATCACCAGTAGGGATGAGCAGAACAATCCCCCAGCAAGACAGTGAAACATAAAAAGAAAAATAAAAGAAAGGAAAAGAAAAGAGCATGGTCCATATTATACTCACTTAAGACAAAAATAGGGAAGCCGATACTTTTGAGTGAAAATATTGTTATGTATTTTGTGCTGCAGATATTCAACTTTATATTATAAAAAATACTACTTATGTAATAGGAGGCAAAGTGTGAATCCTGGCTCTGCTGCTTGCCATGAGACGTCGTTCAAGCTACCGCCCTTGTCAAGTCCGAAAGGTAATAACATCTACCCCACGAGGGGTTGTTCAGTTGATGAATCGAATGAGGGTGACTCAGCACGCGACTGACACACAGCCAAGCGCTCAGCGTGGCTCCTTCAGTATTAACAGCAAGTGAAGTTAGCATGTCTGTGACTTGGTCAAAGCAACACAGACGCACTCGGACAGGATGCAGAATTTGCGTCCTATTCACGGGTTGGTACCAGCCAGACACTAATAGCTCGACCCTGAGTATTATTTTCGAATCTCAAGGTTGCCAGCTAAAAGTCGGAACTTGCCATCTGCCTCTACAAGGATGAAGTCGGTAGCCACTGCAGCCGCTGACCTCCAACACCCCTTGAAAAGACTTGAGGGCTGAGATCAGGAGTAAGGCGCACTTTGCTCTGGGAAAACTGGCAGAACAGGTTTTCAGATAGGCATTTCCAGAAGATTTTATGAGCCCAAATTCTGGCATCTCCTTGTATCTAGAAGGGCACTAGAATCATTAACGGTGACATCTGCTCCTTGTGACCAGCAGCAAGCCTCTGCCAACATGTGTGCTTGATGACACTACCTCCCTTCACGTAAATCACATATATACTGACCTCCGGAGCAGTTCCTCGGAGCTGAGGGGCTATCTCCCATGCTATAGCCCTCATCTTGCCCCAAATAACAATTAACCCACAACTCTCCGTTGTGCAATTCTTTTCAGAGGACAGGGCGTATAATTGGCTCAGCTCCAAGCCGGTACTTCAGCGCCCAGGGTATCTTATTCTGGGCCCCACGTGGAGCTCGGAGAAGACCCTGCGCCTCTAAGGACCAGGCTGGGAGACACATCAGGCCAGTGACTCCAAGCCCTCTAACGCACACACCGTTTTCAACGCGTGCTTTGTGCGGCGGAAGAGAACGCAGCACATTCCGAGCCAAGGTCAAGGCACGACCTCTCAAAACAGGATCCCATCCCCAACGAACTAAACATAAAGCCGGCGCACCGCGAAGATTACACCCTCGCACACCTGCCGCCACCGCGAACGCACCCGGCTCCCGGCATGTCCCGCGGCTGACGGCGCGGCGCGCCTGCAGCACGACAGGGGCGGGGCCTCGGCCGTAAAGCAGTGCCGGAAATTACGTAGCTCTGGCGGCCCGGCGTCCTTGCGGTTTGGCGGGCGCGCCGTTATGGCCGGCCCGGTGCGGGGCGGAGGGCCCCAGGCCTTGGACCTGCTGCGGGCCCTTCCTCGTGTGAGCCTTGCTAACCTGAGGCCGAACCCGGGCTCCAGGAAACCGGTAAGGCTGCGGGCGGCGCGGGGGCCCTCGGGGTCGCGGGTCCAGAGGCGCTGGGGGAACCAGGGGCCCCTGAGCCCCTCTGCTTAGGTGACGCGGGAAAACTTGCCCACGTGGTCCTAGTTCTCTGTAAGGTTCAGGTTTAGAGGCTTAATTACGTTAATTAGGGCGGGGGATCGAGGTCGCAGGAATTACAAATGATTGTCTCATTTAAAATTGGGTTTAGGGCTTCCCTGGTGGCGCAGTGGTTGAGAGTCCGCCTGCCGATGCAGGGGACACGGGTTCGTGCCCCGGTCCAGGAAGATCCCACATGCCGCGGACGGCTGGGCCCGTGAGCCATGGCCGCTGAGCCTGCGCGTCCGGAGCCTGTGCTCCACAACAGGAGAGGCCACAACAGTGAGAGGCCCGCGTACCACAAAAAAAAAAAAAAAAAAAAAAATTGGGTTTAACATGGAGTGCTTTTCCATCATACCTTATTTTCATGGGAAAGATTTATTACATTTGATGTCTCTTTTGCAAATCATTGAATATAGCTAGAAAAGCTGTCATGGACATACTGTCACTTTAAAAATCAATTTGTTGCTTTCCTGAAGTGACAGGATGTAAAGTAAGAAAAATATTTTCCTTATAAGTTGGTATTTAAATAAAACGCTATATATGGGTAACAATGGCATATTGACAATTAATTCCAAAATAAATGCGCTTGCGTATCATGCAAACTTTGCTTGTTGTGGATGTTTAATTCTACAATTTTTTTCAGTTCCAACCTGTCACAGTCTCCTTTTTTTCATCTCATTCTTGGAACTTTCCCTTTGAAACACAACTTGGAGTTTGGTTGCAAGAATTAGCTACATCTTCGGAGGCAGAGTTGCTCATGTGGAGTGTTTGGACTCAGAGCAGCTAGGATGGTGCCTGGCACGTAGTGGGCTTGGCTAGTCGTGCTTGGTTGGATGAATGAAGGGCGTAACCAAAAGATACAGTGCAAAGGTGAAATGCAATTTTTAAAAGTGCATCTGTAGATCATAAAACATTTTTCTTTCCTTACAGGGAAGACGACCAAGAGGTCAGAGAAGAGGTAGGAAATGTGGCAGAGGCCACAAGGGAGAACGACAGAGAGGAACCCGGCCCCGGCTGGGCTTTGAGGGAGGCCAGACTCCATTTTACCTTCGAATCCCAAAATATGGGTTTAATGAAGGACATAGGTAAGTTTGCTTTTCTTCTTAGTGTAAAATACCTAATTCTCACTGAGAGTTACCTAAAACTAGGTTGGTAGAAATTTAAATCCACTTTGAGGCAAACTTTCATTGCTGTTTCTCTGAACCATTTTTGGTAATGAAGTTTAGCCTGAATTGGGGAAAAAGCCAGACATTGCACTGACTTGCAAAATGGAGATAATGGTGTCTGCTCGCGAGGTTTAGGGCGATTACATATATAAAATCTGACTCATTTTCGTCACCCAATAAATGGTAATCACCATTACTTTGAGTTCCATTAATGTATAATTTACATAGTGGGTTAAATATTTATTTATTTGTCTAAATGAGTGAAGTAGATGCCTAGGTAAATAATTGTTGGTGAAACAAAGTAAGTACTTACTGGTTTTGTTTCATTGCCCCCAAATCAAGGAATATTACATGTTTATGCCATACTCAGGGGTTTTATTTTGTTAAACCATATAAATTGATGGAGGAAAACCCAGGACAAAGCTCTGAGTTGATCTGGAGATCTTGCTGGAAGGTAAGTCTGGCTGAGTTTTCCAACTACTGTTACTTTCTTGTGTAGCTTCAGACGCCAGTATCAGCCTTTGAGTCTCAACAGGCTGCAGTATCTTATCGATTTGGGTCGAGTTGATCCTACACAACCTATTGATTTAACCCAACTTGTCAATGGGAGAGGCGTGACCATCCAGCCATCTAAAAGGGATTATGGTGTCCAGCTGGTAGAGGAGGTAAGTCTGAATTAGATTGTTTTTGGAGTTACATAGATGGCTATTTCTGATTTGCATATAATCGACACCCTGCCTGCTTTATTTTTATCCCTTTTGAGTTGTCATAAACATTATGTAGTGGCGATCGTGTTATACTCGTGGTTTTAGAAAGCTGCATGCTGTTGGTGGCGGGAGGCAGGGGCGGCTCTGTTCCCTGGTCCTGGGATGTTCTTCTCCTGTGTACCCATTCGTACTTCTCCCTCACTCTGTCTGGTTCTCTGTTCAAGTGTCATCCTAGTGGGAAGATGTTTTTGACATTCTTTATAAAGGAACATTCATACCCTCATACCCGACCGTCTGCCTTATTCTGCCCAAAGGATTTTTCTTTGAGTGTATGAACACTTGACACTTATTACCAAGTAATGCATTTATTTTTCATTGTTTTTCCTCATTGTGATGTCAGTTCTTTGAGAGCAGGTACTTTGATACATTGCTGTATTTACAACATTGGAAATATTGGCTTGTGATAGTCACTCAGTATTTATGGAAGACAGAAATGAATCAAATTCAGTTCTAATTGTAGGGAAGCGGTTTTCTATTTGTAGAAGTTGGCCAGGAGTTTCATAAGCAAATGAACTTGCAGATTGTTAATCAACTACCTGTTTCTTGTATGTCAGTAATACGATATTGCTGTGTAAGTAACTTAGTGTCCACTAGAGGGGAGCATTGTTTATGGGAAAACCTTTTAGATTCCTTTGAAAAAGTACACTTGTGGATAAAAGTTTTCCAAATAAAATGATTTGAAGAGACAATACCAAATACACCATTAAACCTCAGTATTCTACTTGAGGCGAATAAGGGAACACAACTGTAGATTAACATATGGAAAAACCCATGACCTCACCAGACATTAATGCACATCCCAACAGCTTTCAGGCATGTGTCTATTAAACTAGCAAAAATCATTCTGAAATCTACACCAGGACATTGGTTGAATAAGTACAGTTATACATTATTTACAGCTCTGTAAACTGCTTGCCCTTTTCTGGATTTCAGATTTGTAGTAAATAGTGGATAATAAGACTCTTTTGCTCTTTCAGCACAACATTACCAATTTGGGAACAGAAGTCCTAAGGAAAAACAAAATAAAAGAAACCTAATTGATATAATGAAATGCTAAATATTCTTCTTATAACACTGAAAATGCTGGAACTAACCCCAATGCCCAAGGATGGGGAAATGGTTAAGCAATCTGTGGAATAGTAATTAGAAATCTCAAATAATGTGGCAAGACTTTGTTTCATTGAGTCAGGAGTGCCATTGACTGTAAAAATGCCTACCAGTATCATAGATGGGAAAAATGTGAGAAAATGTGTCTTAGAATTGATGGAATATTTTGATATTGGGAGCCAGCTTGTTTCGGCCGTACCAGAATAGCAAAAAAAATTTTTATTACTGCAAAAAGAATGGTAGGGCCACCATCTTTTTATATTGTCAGAATCTGTTCTGCAATTAGAGTAAAATATAGCACATCCTAATGAAAGTGCCCAGACGGGACTTTAAAAAGTTTAGTACTATTTTTATTTTTGTTGTTGTCTCTGCCCCTTTCCCTAGAGTGGCCCCTCCCAAGCTCAGATACTTTGTTCTTTTGCTGGCTCGAGCCCTCTTGCCCGCCTCTTTAACCAGCTCTTGGCCTCTTGCTTACTTATGGGTCAGGAAGGTAAGTTTTTATCTGTGTCACATGGCATAATGTGGTTAGGAACGAAGGCGCTGGGACTAGACTCCCCCTGGCTTTGTGATCTTGGGCAAGTTGCTTAACCTCTCCGTGTTTCCGTCTATGTGTTGCCGTCTATGACATTGGTGTGGCAGTGATTCTGTTGGTTTAGAGTTGTCTTGAGGATTAAACAATCTGCTGTTACTGAAGTAATGGGAATGTGCATTTATGTTGGTGCCCGCCAAATGCATAAAATGGAATTCTAGTCATCCCTGCTCATAGGGAATGAAAATTGGTAAAACAGGTTGGCCTAAAAAAACGTGGGAGAATTTGGTGTTTGATAGGACCTCAAAGCAGAGGTATTTAAAGTAGGAATAGCTGTCACGTTGCAGGCCCTTTAGAGGAGAAAACACAGTGTAGACGGGAAGCTCATGTAATTAATTCACTTGTAGCCAAGCCGTCTCCTCACAGACCTTGTTTTGACGGGTGACAGGGTGCTGACACCTTTAAGGCAAAAGTTAATATTGAAGTACAGCTGGCTTCAGAGCTGGCCATCGCTGCGATCGAGAAGAACGGGGGTGTCGTCACGACGGCCTTCTACGACCCTCGAAGCCTGGGTAAGCTTGTTGCCTCGGGGTCGCGTGCTGACTGCCACACGAGGGTTTGACTTGCTCTGCAGCTCCCTTGGCTTCCTGTTTGAGGGGTTTCTACTACTGGTGTGGCTGGTGGCGCTCCGCCTTCTCATACACCTCAGCCAGTGTGTCATAAAAAGGTTTTGTTTTTTGAAACATGGGGCTTCAATATGCTATTTCCCACGTTTAGAAATTCACTCGCTGTTGGTGATGCAGGAGTAACTTTGACTTTCAAGATGCAGACTTTTGAAAGTCAAGTGTTTCCATTTGCTTACTTAAGACAAACCTGTTTAATAAAAAAAAAAGTTTTGGGAATTAAGTTTTCCTCTTGGAAATATTTAAAAATAATTAAAAGAATACCATTATTAAGAGAAAATCATTATGTATATAGGCAGTATGTGCATCTCTCTCTTTCTATTTAAACATTTTTTTTAGAAATACTGTGCAAACCTATTCCATTCTTTCTCCGTGGACAACCCATTCCCAAGCGAATGCTCCCCCCTGAGGCACTGGTAACCTATTACACTGATGCAAGGAATCGTGGTTACTTGGCGGATCCTGCTGAATTTCCTGAAGCGAGACTGGAGCTCGCCAAGAAGTATGGTTATATATTACCTGATATCACGAAAGACGAACTCTTCCGAATGCTCAGCACTCGAAAAGATCCAAGGCAGATTTTCTTTGGTCTTGCTCCTGGGTGGGTAGTGAATATGGCAGATAAGAAAATCCTCAAACCTACGGATGAGAATCTCCTCAAGTACTACAGCTCCTGAGTTCCTTCCAAGAGAGCAGATGGTAAAAGAGCACCAGAAAGGGACCGAAACACGTGTGTTTCCCGTTGCATTTGCTTAATTTGTAATTCTGCAGATGTTGGTGTTTTCTGTGTAATCATCTCTCTCTTTCTTATCTAAATTAAAATAAAAATACAGTAAGCAAGGACTGCATAGAGGATCTGGTGGATCTGTGTGCTTCTGTCTCCGTTCTGAGCTCCCTGGTTCTCTGCCCAAGGAAGAGTGTAACTCTTAGTCAATTTCCGGTTGAGTCTTCCATCATCTTTCCATCCAGGTCTTGTCTTACTGTTGCAAATCAGAGTGGACGTGCAAGTGGGATGGGATTGCTTTGTTGGCTGCTTGGTCAAGGTCAGAGGGCTGCTAATGAACTGGTGAGCCTTTTACTCGGTAGCCGCGAGGAAGCGCTGCTGCCCAGTGTCAAGGCAGCAAGCCTTCAGCTTGGGATGATTAAGATGTGGGGTGTGAGTTGAAGGTTTAAGACTGGTGAGTAGCTTCTAAGCAGTTCAATATTTGCTAGCAAAATTGAGACCAGAACTCCAAGGGAATTCATTTTCTCAACTCAGAGTAGACAGAAATGATCAAGCCAGTATCATTTTTTTCCTTGAAGAAGGTAAATGTTCTAATTCTAATTGATATGATTTTACTTATAGACTTTGGAAACCTTTGTTTTTCAGTCATTTTAAATGTTTTTGAAAAAATGGTCAATGATTATATAAGCCATAAAAACAACTGGTCATGTGAAAGTTAAACTCAGTTAATTTAAAAGGTTCAGCAGTCAGTAAGTCTGTTGTATCTAAGCACGTGAAAGCTTAATTTATCCTGATGCAATTAAATCTTGAATAATTCATGATAATTCTTCAACAGTAGAAATAAAATGATTCCTGCTTGTTTATTTTATGAAAATAAAAAAATTTAAAAACCTAAAGAGTGCATTATTTTGTTACCTTATCTACCTCAAATATAGCTGAGCTAAGATTCCGTTTATAAAGTAATTTAAGTACGAAGAGTGTATTTCAGTTTTTATCCAGGATTATTTAGTTTGGCTTGTTATTAAACCATTTCTTAGTACCCAGAACTTATAAGAATCACTACTAGCCCCATCTTCTCGGATAGTCACCTATGAATTTCAGAGGATGGGCAACAATTTAAAAACATGTTTTTATTTTTCAGAGACACAAGTGACAGGTGTTTTTGAGGGAGAGTGATGATAAAGCACCAGAAACCATCTACTTTTTTCTGTGCCTCTTTTTCTAAACATTTTGGCCATAAAGCCATCTTACATTTCCTATGCTAGGTATCTAAAAAGTTTTATTTGAATATTGTATATAGAAGAAGAGAGATGGTAGCAAAGAAGAATTCCAAGGTGCAGAGAAAACGTGTTTTTATTGACGATTACAGTGACTAAGAGTCAGGAATAGAATACATTTTCATTTTTTAAAATCACGGGGAAAAGTCCCAAAAAACTTTCTATCATTATAAAAGTAGTCCATGCTTGTTTTGAAGTCATGTAATACTGAAGTCTAAAAAGTAGAAGTCCATGTTCTCTTACTGTTGCCCATCCCTGACCTACTACCACTGTTTAGTTTGTTTGGAGTCTCTTTTCTTTTTTTGAATCAAAAAGGCATAGCCTGCAGGGGGCTTCCCTGGTGGTGCAGTGGTGAAGAATCCACCTACCAATGCAGGGGACACGGGTTCGAGCCCTGGTCCGGGAAGATCCCACATGCCGCGGAGCAACTAAGCCAGTGCGCCACAACTACTGAGCCTGAGCTCTAGAGCCTGTGAGCCACAACTACTGAGCCCACGTGCCACAACTACTGAAGCATGTGTGCCTAGAGCCTGTGCTCCACAAGAGAAGCCACCGCAGTGAGAAGCCCGCACACCACAACGAAGAGTAGCCCCCGCTCGCCGCAACTAGAGAAAGCCCACACGCAGCAACGAAGACCCAACTCAGCCAAAAATAAGTAAAATAAAAAAAAAAAAAGGCATAGATTGCAAATAAAGGCAGTGACCTTACTTCTTATTGTTACATCTAATACTGTTTCAAAGGCACTTTCCGTTAGGGAAGACTACGCCCTATTCTTAAGCCATTGCTATAGGATCCATTAGGCAAGTCCCTTCACCTTTCCCAACTGTAAAGTGCAGTGACCCATAATCTTTGTATATTACAAGCTCAAATACCATGACGATTGAGGTGTTGCCTTGGTGCTGAGGAAAGCTGCTTTGACCTCAACCTATCTGCACAGAAATGAACTTCCTTACATTTAAACACATCCTGTCCTGTGTCCGGCCTGAAGCAGGAGACAAGCCTGAGAGACCACTCATTTTCTGTGCAGAGTGCCAGCCTCGCTCTGGGTGGGTTACTGCCCCCCGGACGTGCTGCTAGAGGTTCTGTTTTGTGGTTCACTTTGCAGTTTTGTTGGAGGGGCCAGAGTCGCCTCGACAGACAGTTCTTCACGGGAAATGAGGGGGCAGTTAGTTGCGTGAAGGTGGATGACGGGGTCTCCTCGCCTTCCAGTCCCAGGATGTACTCGTGAGGCCCTTACGAGGGTCCCCGCACCACGTAAATGACTCAACTACCCTGAGCAGCAGTGAGGGTGGAAAAGGAGATGGGAGATGGCAGACGTCAGACTCGCTGAAGTTGGTCGTCTTGGGGGCCTGCAGGTGAAAGGAAGTCCGGATAGAATGATAAAGGGAAGAGTGAAAACAGGAAACAGCTGCCTGGTGACGTGTCACCCTCAGGGCGCAGGGGCTTAGTCACAAACAGCTGTATCCTGGGCTTAATCGAATAATCGTGCAGATCATTCTTGGCCAAAACAGGCACGTTCCACAAAATCCGTCCATTCTGCTTTATGAAGCCAGTCCTAAAATCACTGCGTAGCAGGGAGACTCAAGCTGAATTATGTAACAGTGCCGGGTGCTGCTGGTCATTTCCAAGGATGAAGAGTTCACATCACCTGGAGATCTAAGTAGAAAAGCCAGACGCCCTCCGTCTGGATTCCAGTCCTTTCCTGGTGTGTGGCTTCAGCCTGTTTTCAGTGTACGTGGCCTGTGTGGGTCCAAGACCAGAGAAGCTTGAGTTGATATGCATTGGGAAAGATCTTTTCATGCCTGGAAGTAGTAACTGGATTTCCTCGGTTTATTTTCCTTTTTGAATGTTACTTTATTCTTTGGAATGTGGAGCGGCTCTGCAAGGGCGGAGAAAACGCCAGACGGCAGCAGAGGGACCCAGCTCCGCGTGTGTCAGAGAACAAAGCATGCTCCCTGACTTTAGTTAGTGCAGTTTCTGGTGGCCACGTCTGGGAGGCTTTGCTGCAGACAGTGTGCCAGGCGTGGCATGGTCTTGCACGTGTAAACGTCAGTGCTGCTTCAGGCCCCAATGGCAGCCGGATGACCTGGGGTGCATCCTTTAACTGCAACACCCTCTCCTGTGGTTGGGGGCTCACTGAGTTACCAGGGAGAGGCTCCAGGCACGGAGGCCAATTTGCAGAATTGCCAGGAGAGTTTCCCTGGGCTCAGAGGCCGGTACTAGCTGTGTGACCGTTATTTAACCTCTCCGAGCCTCGGTTTCACCATCTAAAAAAAGGGAGATAATGGCAGATCCTAACGCATCCAGTGATGATGGGGATTGAAAGACGTCAGTATTTGTGAAGCACTTACCACTGCGCCTGACACAGAAGTGCCTCTGAGTGTTGGTGAATTAAGCATCTTATGTGGTCCACCTTGTATGTGGTAGCTGTTCCATAAATGTTACTTCCTTTCCGCCGTAAGATTCATACAGTCTGTGGTCAGCATCTTGTCGATGAAAAGAAGGGCATGCTAAACTTCATTATTTTAATCAGGATCTGCTGAGAAAGGACATTTTGAGATGATCATATGGTTTTTATCCTTCAGTTTGTTAATATGGTGTATCACATTGATTGATTTGCATATATTGAAGAATCCTTGCATCCCTGGGATAAATCCCACTTGATCATGGTGTACGATCCTTTTAATGTGCTGTTGGATTCTGTTTGCTAGTATTTTGTTGAGGATTTCTGCATCTATAGTTATCAGTGATATTGGTCTGTAATTTTTTTTTTTTTTGCGGTACGCAGGCCTCTCACTGTTGTGGCCTCTCCCGTTGCAGAGCACAGGCTCCGGACGCGCAGGCTCAGCAGCCATGGCTCACGGGCCTAGCTGCTCCGCGGCATGTGGGATCTTCCCGGACCGGGGCACAAACCCGTGTCCCCTGCATCGGCAGGCAGATTGTCAACCACTGCGCCGTGTGCACTTGAGAAGAAGGTGTAATCCGCTGTTTTCAGATGGACTGTCCTATAAATATCCGTTAAATCTGTCTGGTCTGTTGTGTCATTTAAAGCTTGCGTTTCCTTGTTAATTTTCTGTCTGGATGATCTGTCCATTGGTGTAAGTGAGGTGTTAAAGTCCCCCACTATTATTGTGTTACTTTCAGTTTCCTTTTTTATAGCTGTTAGCATTTGCCTTATGTATTGAGGTGCTCCTATGTTGGGTGCATATTTATTTATTTATTTAAAATTTTTATTTATTTATTTATTTTTGGCTGTGTTGGGCCTTCTTTGCTGCACACGGACTTTCTCTAGTTGTGGAGAGCGGGGGCTACTCTTCCTTGCAGTGCATGGGCTTCTCATTGTGGTGGCTTTTCTTGTTGTGGAGCACTGGCTCTAGATGCACGGGCTTCAGTAGTTGCAGCACACGGGCTCAATAGTTGTGGTGCATGGGCTTAGTTGCTCTAGCGGCATGTGGGATCTTCCCAGACCAGGGCTTGAACCCATGTCCCCTGCGTTGGCAGACGGATTCTTAACCACTGCGCCACCAAGGAAGCCCAGGTCCTCTGCTTTGACAAATGGAGTGAGGGACCTGCAGAAGACTCTTTCCAACTCTATAAAGAATTGGAAAGAGAATTCTCCTTTTTTCTACAAGTGAGGAAGCACAGGCTTTCAACTAGACACACACACACACACACACACACGCATACGCACGCGCGCCCCTTAGCCATCAGAAATGAGGCAAGACTGCCACCTACTGACCACATGTGAGCACTTCGTGGGAATTTCCAGGTGTGATCTTGGTCCCACTTAATTAGGATTGTTAATTATTCATGATTTATACATTCAGCAAACCCGAAGTGCTCACACAGCAGGCCCAACAACAGGCACTGGGACTACTAAAGTCAGAAAGGCAGAGTGATCACCTTACCCGCACCAGTAGAAGGGAATGGAGAAGCAAGTGAAGGAGAAATTGAATCCCAGAGCAGTAGGTGCTGCAGGTAACCTGCTCCCAATACTCTAGTTCACCTTTAATTTTGAAGGAAGTGGAAGCTGCCTCTGGGCACGGCAAACCCAAGTTCTTCCTTGGTGGCCGTCGGTGACAGGAGGAGGAGGAAATCAAAGCCAAAGTAGTAACAATGGTTTACACTGATTTTCGCTTAGCTCCCCCAGAAACCTGTGAAGTGGCTTGCCAAGTTTCCAAAAACGACATTTATAGCACATTAATAGCACCGCCTAGCGTGTTAAGGACACAGAAGAGATAAGCTCTCACTTTCTGAGACTTTATATTAACATACACATTTGAAAACCAGCTGCAGACTATTTAAGAAAGAGACGCCCCAGGAGGTGTGCGCTCAGGAACTAGCATTACCTGTGGTGGCAAAGTGGTTTAAAGGAAGAGATTTTGAATGAGATGGTTCTGCATGTGTGTCCTGAGTGGGCTGCTGACCCAGGAGGTCTGTTAAAGCTCAAAGCTTCAGCAGCTTCTCTTGTGAGATGGCAAGGTCCCTCAGATGGCCGTGGTGCTGGGTGTGAGAGGGAAGGTGTACGTCATCGGCAAGTCTGGGCACAATGGGGGTCCGAGAAGTGGGAGCACTTGTTATTTTGTGAAGACATTGTATGGACGGCTTCGGGGAAGAGG